TCCTTTGAAATGTGTAACGGTCATGAGAACATCGATATTTTAAAGCTACATCGATGTTAGGGTTGTTGAATTTCAAAAAGCGAAAGATTTTGTCTTAAAGGCCCCAAAGGCTAGTTGAAAACATCGATGTTTACCATTGAACATCGTTGTTCAAAAACCTACTGCCAAAAACTGACATGAGGAAACCTGAAAAAAAAGATGTTCAAAGTCCAACATCACTGTTATGAAACCTACTGCCATGGGCAAAACAACGATTTTGGGTTTGCCAACATCGTTCTTCGGGTTGGACGCTAGAACCATGGTTTGGCAGCCAATGCTGAAAAACGATGTCAAAAATTCAAATTTCCCAAATCAAAAACCAAGTCTTGGAAATACTTATTTGATGTAGAAATCAAGTGTAAAAACTAAAAAACCACATCGTTAAGGTGAAAACCACAGATCACCAAGTTAAATTATATTTTCATGGTTTTTGAAAAAAATAAAAACCAAAGGTGGTTTTTAGAATGTTTTTATTGGGAAACAATTTTAATATTCCGAGAGGTAAAAAATCATAAAACTTTGAAAAATATTTGGTTGATTTAAACGTCAAAAACCAACGCCGATGGTCGATAACCAATGTCGAAAAACAAAGGTTATGGTTTTCAAAAAATAAACACTTGGAAAACCTTTAAATGTTCCTAGAAGAGAAAGTAAATGATAAAAGCTTAAAAACTATTTGGCTAAAACAAGTACCAATAACCAACTCCGAAAACGAATACTGAACACTGATAACCAACGCCGAAAACTGAAGGTTATGGTTTTTTGAAAATTCTAAGTTTGGAACACATATGTGTCTAGAAGTAAAAACAAAAGATAAAAACTCAAAAACCATTTGGCTAAAATGAATGCTAATAACCAATGCCGAAAACCGAATAACGATAGCCGGATGCCAATAACCAAAGGTTATGATTTTGTTGGGTAAGATGCAAGAATGAAGATCATGGTTTTTTTGCATTTGAAAAATGACTTAAGTTGAGCCAAAAGCCAAGATAACTTAAACGTTGCTCTTAAATTAAGTTATACCTAAAGACTTACGTTTTGGGGTCTTTGATCTTGAACCCTCGAGCATTTCTTAAATTGACTTCATATCCTTGGCTAGAGATTCACTTCAAGCACACACTCTTTGTTATCACCACAAAATTTCCCTCATTTTTTGTTAACCACTACATCTTGACTTCATTGTTTGTCATCCATCAAAACCTACACTTGAAAATCATGCTAAAACACCAAAGCATATAATAATGATATGATTTCCACATGAGTTCTAACATTAGTGACTCGATAGGGGCCATTAAATCTGGAGCTCAACTTACCCTTTTTATGAAATTTTAAAACCTTCTTACAATGTAGACTTTCAAAAACACAAGATCCTCAACATTACACTCCATCTCTCAACGTTTAAAAAAAGTCGAAATAAGACTTATGACGATCTGAAGAAGATGTAGCCTATCTCAGATTAAACAACCTTCTATTCCCTTTCATGGACGAGGTCAAGCCCATTAGTGGTAGATATCGCTCCCAACTGTCTCCAAAGTCGATAACGCAAACTCTCATCATGTCTTCCAAAATATGGATTATTCTCTTATGTTAACCGTTGTTCTGAGAATGAAACGCGTTGCTAGAATTAAATTGAGCTTGGAGCTGAGCCAAGAGCTTTTTGTAGACTCTTCCAGAACTGAGAGGTGAATCACCAATCGTAATCTGAGATAATGGATACAGGTAATGCAATATGATAATCTCTCGGATAAAAAGTTTAGCTAACCTTTCCAACAAATGGTCTAATCTAATCTGCAATAAATGAGGTTACTTACTCAACCGGTCTTTCTCTCTTGCTCTCCTTCGCTCTTGATCTCTTTCCCTCTTTCTCTCTTGCCCCCTTGCTCTCTTTTTCTCTTGCTACCTTCCTTCATTCCTGCCCTGCTTCCTTGCTTTGTTGCTTCCTTTCTTTCTTGCTTTTTTCCTTTCCTTCCTTCCTTGTAAGAGAGTTAGCACGGTTTCAATGATGGGGTGGTGCTCGCATTCCACAAAATAAGAGTGCAGTGACATTATGACACTGTACGTATAGTGGCTCTCACTTTATTTTTTGATATTATATACTGACATTATTAGCATTGTAACTCTTATTTTGATATTTTCTCTATGTTTTACTTTTAGTTTAATTTGATCCTTTCCCAAAAATATTACCAAATAAGATATCTAGTTAATCAAATATCATTTTGATTTTAAGCATCCGTCTTGAATTGTACCCGAATTTGATACCTGATAAAACTAAACAAATGCATATTTGGTAATGCTACAACCAATCCATTTAAGATTCGTTAACACGTACTCCACTTTTTTCTTTCTTCCCTTCTTTCTTTTTCCTTCCTTTTCACTCTTTTCCCCAGCACATCTTGTATCATATCCCCCACCTGGCCTTCTCTCTCTTCTTTTCCTCCCTTTACCATACGGAAAATTTTTTTATGTACCTAAAGTCCATAGTCATTATATGAACATTAGTCCATTTGTAGTATAAAAGAAATGAGCATTTTCAAAAAAAAAGAAAATATTCACATGCAAGACTATGAAAAATACGAGAAGGTCTACATTTTAAATGTAGACTTTGGGACCATATAAGCATGACTCTTATCCTACCCATATCTTCCACATCACCACTACTTAAATATTCCAAACCAATAAAGATGTTGTTAATGACCTAGTTTAGTGCACAGTAATTGTAAATAAATATATGTATGGCACGAGAAATGTTCGGGTCAGAAACATAAGAATCACAAAATACATAATTTTGTCAATCTTTTTGTGCATCTCGTTATATCAAGAGAACTGTAAAATAATAAAGAATGCTTTATTGATTGAATAATTTAGAAGAATACAAAGTAATGAATATATAGGTGGAATTGGAGTATTCTAGAATTCTCCATATTAATGGCTAAATAAATAAGGAAATATTGTATTATAATAACTCTAGCTATAATAGGTAACAACCATAAATATAATATATAATATTAAATATATTTAAATAATTCATATATTTAACATGGTACCAACGTCTTGGGAGGTGAAGATTGAACGCCAACCTTTACTTGAATCGTGACCAAAATTGTAATCAGAAGCTCGAGGCATATCTTCGGCTAGAGTAGACTGAATGCATCCCGCCAGAAGAGAAGAAGAAAGATGACTAGGAAAGAGATGTGACGGCACTAATGAGGAGAGGAGAAGAGCCGATGCGAACAAACTCATGCTGCTGACGTCGAATGAGGGAGAAGGTTGACGTGCGCTAGAGTCGTTCACGACTAATTTAGAGAAACAAAAAGAATGAAGTGTTGCTAGGGATGCTTGTTAACTGAAGATTTGCCGACTGAGCAAGCTGATCTGACAATCTCATCTTAAATCAAGAAGCAGCGGTGATGGATCTAGAGATGGACAATTGTGGTTGGCTAGGAATATATTTTTTTGCTACATGGAATTATGAAGAATGAGATCAAAGGAGGAACAAACTAAGTGAAGCTGTGGCCGCCGCCGCCAGACAAACCACCGGCGACGGCAACGGCGGAAGCAGAAACTGTTAGGTCTCCAAGAACGAAGACTCTGATACCATGTAAAATAATAAAGAATGCTTTATTGATTGAATAATTTAGAAGAATACAAAGTAATGAATATATAGATGGAATTGGAGTATTCTAGAATTCTCCGTATTAATGGCTAGATAAATAAGGAAATATTGTACTCTGGAGTATTATACTAACTCTAGCTATAATAGGTAACAACCATAAATATAATATATAATATTAAATATATTTAAATAATTGATATATTTAACAAGAAAAAAATCATTTTAAATAATTAAAAAAAGAAATTTAATGTACGTCGTAATGTAATATTACTGCAGGTAGCTGAAATGCCAGCAGCTTCTGTTTCAATGTTTCATCATGCTGCTGCTGGTATCCAGTTCAAAGTAAGTCAAACGCAGCATAATAAATGATATGAGACCTCTTCTTAAGCTTGGAAGTTGGTCGCTTGACAAGACTCCATCTCAAATGTTATCGAGTAATTTGTCCATGAGATCTTCATCTTTAGAATTTAATTGATGCACAAATAGTAACTCGCTTTGTCTTTAATTAATTGAGACACTTGTCTTTTTTTAATTAGAGGAATTTATCCAAATAGAACTAAAACATAATAAATTTCTCAATATAGAATCATATGCTATTGTTTCTCAATGTAGGACCATTGATCATTATTTATTACTCCCTCCGTCCCAAATTATAGTGCCTGTTTCGGTTTATGATGTTTGACTGAAATTATTTTCAAATTGTTTTTATGACAAACGGTATAGAGTTAAAAAAATAAAAATTACATATTAAAAAACTACATCAAAAGATCTATAAAACTAGTAGTTGTTGCTGATTTTAGTGTCATCAATTTATTTTGTGTAATTGGATTTACTTTGATCGGACAAGAATTTAAATAGACGTTGTCAAACGAGTTAGGAGGCGCGGAGTGCGCGCTCGTTCAACGATATTATAAATTCACTGCAGGGGTCCGGGGGCGGCAGCCCCCGGGATAGCGCGGGTCCGGGGGCGGCAGGCCCCGGGTAGCGGGGTCCAAGGGGCGGCAGCCCCTGGCGGGGTCCAAGGGGCAGAGCCCCTGGCTTTGTTTCGGACGTTGTTTCTTTAAGAAAATCCTTAAGATTTTCGTGACCGGAGTCCAAAACGGTAATGGACTCGTACATAATGGATAAACGTCGAAATCAAGCCTTCAACCGCATGAGACCTTTCGTTTCAAACTCGCACCTTTTTCTTCTTGCGCGAACGTACGCGTACATCTACGCGAACGTTCATGTCCGATCACAAGGATTTTCGACTCCATAAAATAGAGTCTCGTGGTATGGGTTGAGTTAGAGATTCTCAAGTGCTTGTTCTGAATTAACGTCTTATCCGATTGAAGTATTTCGTATACCCCGAAATAACATTGATCTGAAAGCGTTTCGTACGCGATTCATTATTCTATCGAGTTCTTCGTTTAACACTGCTTCGCAGTGTTCTTCCTTCTCAAAATCCAACAAAGATCAAAGTTATTCCTAAAGAACTCAAAGATGACGTGTGGCGATTCCGTAAGAGATTTGAGTAGCAAGTTCTCGAAGTTAGAAAAGTTCGAAGGCCAGGACTTCCGTCGATGGCAGAAGAAGATGCACTTCCTTCTCACAACATTGAAGGTCGTGTATGTACTGAGCACGCCTATGCCGCAGATCATGGATGACGATACACTGGAACAGACAAGGAAGCGGTGCAAGTGGGAGAACGATGACTACATTTGTCGAGGACATATTCTAAACGGTATGTCTGACTCTCTGTTTGATGTATATCAAAATGTTGAATCTGCAAAGTTGCTATGGGACGGTCTAGAAGAAAAGTACATGGCCGAGGACGCTTCGAGCAAGAAGTTCCTCGTCAGTAACTTTAACAATTATAAGATGGTTGACTCTCGACCGGTCATGGAACAATACAATGAACTGTTGAGGATCCTGGGCCAGTTTGCACAACATAACATGGCAATGGATGAATCCATATCTGTGTCTAGTATTATAGACAAACTGCCTCCTTCGTGGAAAGAATGCAAACGTGAGTTAAAGCATAACAAGGAGGAAATGAATCTGGTGGAACTTGGAACCCATCTTCGGATTGAGGAGTCCATCCGAGATCAAGAGGGAAAGAAGGTGAAGGACATAGCCGGTCCATCGTCCATCAACATGGTCAAAGACGAAGGTTTCACCAAAGTGAAGAATAAGTCTAAGGGTAAAAAGCGCAAGTCCGGAAATACACCCAAACCTGCAAATAAAAAGGCTAAAATGGGTTGTTGGAAGTGTGGAAAACCAGGCCACTTCAAGCAGTATTGTCGGATTGGCAAGCGAGACAAGGATACAAGCAAGAATGGTTCCGGTCAAGGAACCAAGGACCAAAACAAATCAGAAGGTCAGATTATTCCACTCATCAATAATTCGGTTAAGAATTATGTCTCAATTATATCTGATGCATTTTATGTGCAGGATGATGACATCTCTTGGTTGGTTGATTCGGGGGCAACATGTCACGTGTGCAAGGACAAAAGATGGTTTAGTTCGTTAGAATCAATGGACTATGGATCAGTGTTGCGCATGGGAAACATAGCCACCGAACCTGTCAAGGGAATTGGAATAGTAAAACTTGTATTCACTTCCGGCAATAGTGTACTCTTAGATAATGTGTTATATGTACCAGGTCTTCGTAAAAATCTTATATCGGGGATTGTATTAAATGACCAAGGATATAAACAAGTATTGGAAAGTAATAAATATATTTTATCTAGACATGGTGGCTTTGTAGGTTTTGGTTATTTATGCAATGGCATGTTTAAATTAAGTTTGAATGTTCCTTTTGGCATGAATGATGTTTGTATGACGACTACATGTGATGCCTTAAACAAATCTGTTTTATGGCATGCTCGTTTAGGTCATGTACATTATAAAAGATTACAAGATATGTCCAAAAGTAACTTAATTCCTGCCTTTGACATAAACCAAGACAAATGTAAGACATGTATGTTAACCAAGATAACTAGAAAACCGTTTAAAGAAATCAAAAGGGATTCTAGTATACTTGAACTCGTTCATAGTGACTTGTGCGATTTTCATGCAACTCCATCTATAGGAAATAAAAAGTACATGATCACTTTTATAGATGATGCCTCTAGGTTTGGTTATGTATATCTTTTACATGTTAAGGATCAAGCATTGGAAACTTTTAAAGTGTACAAAACCGAGGTAGAATTTCATAAAAATAACCTGGTTACAACTCTTCGGACAGATAGGGGAGGAGAATATTTTGATCCAGTTTATTTTCAATCTGTTGGTATAATTCATGAGACCACTGCTCCCTATACACCACAACAAAATGGTGTAGCCGAGCGAAAGAATAGGACCTTAAAAGAAATGGTAAACTCTATGTTGTCTTGCTCGGGTTTGAGTGAAGGATTTTGGGGAGAGGCTATGTTAACAGCCTGCTATTTTTTAAATAGAGTTCCTAACAAAAGGAGCAAAATTACCCCTTATGAAATTTGGTATGGGAAGCCACCAAACTTGAATTATTTAAAAGTTTGGGGTTGTAGGGAGGTTGTAAGACTCCCAGAACCTAAGAGGAAAACCTTGGGTGAAAAAGGCATTGATTGCATTTTTATTGGATATGCTCAGCATTCTAAGGCTTATAGATTCTACGTTATAGAATCTAATGACTCGGTGGGAGTAAACACCGTGATCGAGTCAAGGGATGCAATCTTCGATGAAAATAGGTTTTCATCAATACCTAGACCTAGAGATATGGTTTTAGGTGATTCATCTATACCAAACCAAGAGGACTCTAGTAGAAACATAGTTTCTAATAATGAGTCCTTCGTTCCTACGGAAATTAGGAGAAGCAAAAGACGTAGAGTTGCCAAATCCTTTGGCTCAGATTTTCAATTATATTTAATTGAAGGTTCTAGGGATGAAATTTTATTTCAATATAAATATTGTTATAATATTATTTCAAGGGATGAAATTTTATTTCCTAGAACATATAATGAAGCTATGGCTTCAAGGGACGTGGCGTTTTGGAAAGAGGCTATTCAAGATGAGATGGACTCTATCTTGCATAACAACACTTGGAAATTAACTAACTTACCTCCTGGATGCAAACCTTTAGGATGTAAGTGGATCTTCAAGAAGAAGATGAAAGTAGACGGTTCGATCGATAAGTTTAAAGCAAGGTTAGTAATACAAGGCTTTAGACAAAAAGAGGGAATTGACTACTTTGATACCTATGCCCCTGTTGCAAGAATTTCAACCATTAGGTTGTTGATTGCTCTAGCGGCTATACACAATCTTGTGATTCACCAAATGGATGTAAAAACAGCTTTCTTAAATGGTGAACTAGAAGAGGAAATCTACATGAAACAACCCGAAGGGTTTGTTATGCCAGGAAATGAGCATAAAGTGTGTAAGCTAGAGAAGTCACTATATGGATTAAAACAAGCACCGAAACAATGGCATCAAAAGTTTGATGATGTTGTTTTGTCAAATGGCTTTCTTTTAAACCAAGCAGACAAGCTAAGTGTGTTTATAGCAAATTTGATACCTCAGGTAAAGGAGTTATAATTTTTCTATATGTTGATGACGTGTTTATTTTTGGAACCGATCAAAATCAAGTCAATAAAACAAAAGAATTATTGTCATCACATTTTTCCATGAAGGATCTAGGGGAGGCAGAAGTAATCCTAGGCATTAGGATAAAACGGGTGAACAATGGGATATGCATTACACAGTCTCATTATATTGAGAAAATTTTGAAGAAATTTAATTTTGAAAATTGTTCTCCGGTTAACACCCCTATGGATCCAAGCATTAAAATTTTGGCCAATCAAGGAAAGGCCGTGTCTCAACTTGAATACTCAAGGGCTATTGGTTGCGTAATGTATGCCATGATTAGCACAAGACCGGATATAGCATATGCCGTTGGAAAGCTTAGTAGGTTTACTAGCAATCCTGGTACACACCATTGGCAAGCTATACGCAGAGTATTCAAGTACTTAAAGAAAACTATGAATTATAGTTTGGTGTACAGTGGAGATCCACCAATTCTTGAAGGATACTCGGATGCAAGTTGGATAACTAATATGGAAGATTTCTCCTCTACAAGTGGATGGGTTTACTTACTAGGTGGAGGAGCAATCTCGTGGGGATCAAAGAAACAAACTTGCATCACTACATCAACAATGGAATCTGAATTTGTTGCTTTAGCATCGTCCGGTAAAGAGGCTGAGTGGTTAAGAAATTTGGTATATGAAATTCCATTGTGGCCTAAACCGATATAACCAATATCAATAAGATGTGACAGCACTGCTACTTTGGCTAAGGCATATAGCCAAGTCTATAATGGTAAGTCTAGACACATGGGTGTTGAACATATCATGATCCGTGATTTGATCAAAAATGGTGTGATATCGATTGAGTTTGTTAGAACTCAACACAATTTAGCCGATAATTTAACTAAAGGGTTTAGAAGAGATCTCATGCTAAAATCGGCTAAAGGGATGGGATTAAAGTCCATTTGATATCTCTCGTGTTAAGATACCCAATTCCCACCTAATATGACGTTAAGTGTAGAATTCAATGTGGAAAGCTTAACATCAAGAGATTGGAACACAACATTAGCATCATCCAAAGGTATGTGTTCAAAACTGCAAGTTAAAGAGGTTGAAGTTAATCTTCTTAATAGTTCTTTTGAAAAATTGTATGTGCAGGTATAAGACATAAAAGAACTACCTATACGAGTATGAAGTTTAGCCGCTTCACAAAGTTTGGACTTGACTTTTATGTGCTCGTTGAAGGATAGGGACACAAGACTAGTAAAATACGGTGTCAAGCTTGGAACAAAGAAGTACTTAGAGCTTATGTGTATATTATCTTCATGTATTCATATGAATTGCAAGGGTTCAATCCTTAGAGACACCCCGAATTTCGAATATTTGGAATGTGTAATATACTAAGATGAAAATTCAATCGTCGCGACATTTTCATTTATGCATAAGTTTCAACTTAGATAATAGAGTCTTTCATTCAGTACCTAATGTGATTTTATCCCCTCCTAACAACCACTAAAATCACAGTAGTTAAATAAAACACATTAACCTAAATGAAACTAGCCTGTTCTTAAATAATAGACGTTGTCAAACGAGTTAGGAGGCGCGGAGTGCGCGCTCGTTCAACGATATTATAAATTCACTGCAGGGGTCCGGGGGCGGTAGTCCCCGGGATAGTGGGGGGTCCGGGGCGGAAGCCCCCGGGATAGCGGGGGTCCGGGGGCGGCAGCCTCCGGGTAGCGGGGTCAAAGGGGCGGCAGCCCCTGGCGGGGTCCAAGGGGCAGAGCCCCCTAGCCGGGGTCGAGCTGTTTCTTTAAGAAAATCCTTAAGATTTTCGTGACCGGAGTCCAAAACGGTAAAGGACTTGTACATAATGGATAAACGTCGAAATCAAGCCTTTAACCGCATGAGACCTTTCGTTTCAAACTCGCACCTTTAACCCCAAATTAACGTCTTATCCGATTGAAGTATTTCGTATACCCCAAAATAACTTTGATCTGAAAGCGTTTCGTACGCGATTCGTTATTCTATCGAGTTCTTCGTTTAACACTGCTTTGCAGTGTTCTTCCTTCTCAAAATCCAATAGTAGTGACAATAGTACTTTATCACTAGACATTATTCCTCCCACTAGATATTATTAAATATTATTTAGGGAATAAAAAAGTTTAAGTCTTACATTGGAAAATGACTTTTATTTTTACTCATTTTACTACAAATTTCACTTTTATAATTATTTAATTACCACTGCACCATTTAATTTTCAATTTTTTATTTTCCCAAAAAAGTAAAAAAAGTATGTGGTTTAATGTTTTCTTCTAAAGTAGAAATAAAACACAGGAAAAAGATCAAAATAAGACTTTCACTTATTTATCTTTAAAATAACTTCTAAAATGTCAATAATTACAAGATATAATACTAAAAAGTATTGTAGAATATAGTGCTAATATTGTGTGGTGCGAGAGACGAAGGACTTTGCTGTTTGTCACAAACACTTGGGTCATCCATCCCCTGAGATCTGTCGTTTTTTACCTTTTCTTTCTACCCCATGTCCAATTTCCTCTTTACCTTGTGATGTATGTTTTCGTGCTAAACAATGTCGTGACTCTTTTCTTACTAGTTTAAATAAATCAAATATTCTCTTTTCTTTGATTCACTGTGATTTGTGGGTGGGGCTATAGAACTCCTTCTCGTACGGGGGCTAAATTTTTATTAACCATTGTGGATTATTTCTCTCGTGCAACTTGGGTGTATCTTCTAAACAACAAAGATGAAACATCTGGTGTTCTGTAAAATTTCTTTTCTCTTGTCTAACGTCAATTTGATGCAAACATCAAAAGAATTCGTAGTGACAATGGGACGGAGTTCACATGCATGAAACCTTTGCTTCCGTTGGGATAATCTACAAATCTTCTTGCGTTGGCAATCCCCAAAAAAATGGGATAATAATCTTCAAATCTTCGTGTTCATTTCTGACAGGTTTTGATAATTGCCAAACCGTCGTGGATATGAAGAGTTTCATTAAACAACTCAAGGCGTGAAGAAAGGCATGGAACAAAAGACCAAG